ACGCATCTTGAATTAAGCTGCTTTGCATCTCCAGTCCAGATATCATTTTAGAACCCCAGTTCCAAACAGTCAGTTGCTTCTCCAGGACACCATTTGGATTTCTGATGGCAATCCCTTTTTGGAAAGCCTCTTTTGGCATCCCACATCCACTCTTATATCCTCTAGTACAATAGTAGGCCCTCAATAAATATATCCTCTAGTACATAGTAGGCCCTCAATAAATATGCTCTGAGACTTGACCAACTAGGTACCACACTGGACAGTTCAGACTAAAAAATGCCATTTTCCCCTCTGTTCTTCCTCTGTTCTCCCATACCTCTCCCATTATTGTGCATTTGTTTTAAAGGTCTATTGACTTATCTGTTCCTACTGGATTGTTAGCAAGGACCTCTTAATTACCTATCAAAGAACCTGACACCATAAGTGCCATAAATACGAGCCAAATAACATATGATTCATCAGAATCCCTGAATCTGTTTTCTCCCCTTATTCTTGTAAAGACTTTCTTTCCTCAAATGGAAGCTTTGAGAAAATTTCCCATGAATTAATTATCCTGGTTTCACTTAGTTTTATGACTTAACCTTCTCATATTTCTCTACCCTAACAAGATGATTCTTAATATTAATTCAAGACTCTTTCTGTGGGACTAGGAGCCACACTCTGTTGAGGATCTTTAGTGAATCTACTATTACATATTCAGTCTTTTTCACCATATGTTTAATTAAGGAACATATCAGATAGGGATGCCTGGGTGGGTCAGTTGGTTAAGTGGCCAACTTCAGCTCAGGCAATGATCTCGTGGTTCATGGTTCATGAGTTTGAGCCTGTTGGGCTCTGTGTTGACCGCTCAGAGCCTGGAGCCTGCTTCGGATTCTGTGTCTCCCTCTCTCTCTGCCGCTCCCTGCCTCACGCTCTGTCTCTCTCTGTCTCTCAAAAAATGAATAAATGTTTTAAAAAACATTAAAAAAAAGAACATATCAGATAGCCCTAGGCCCTGTGTCATTCCTGAAGAATGTGTCTCCACGTTGCTTCCCCATGTAGGGAGGTTGTACTCAGACCTGGTCCTTTGCTGCTTTTTGGCTCTCCTCCTACAACTTCTCAGCTACATCTGCATGCAGCTCTTGATTTCTGGTCTCTTTTCCCTGATACCATGTAATTGGCTTGAACTTGGCTTCTTGTCTATACCCTTGCCTCCTGGCCCACAGCTGAGATGTACCCGCTGCTTGTATGGTCCCAATTCCATCATGCTCAAGGCAGTATGTGCAGCTGCCATTATCATTGCTCGCAGTGAGTGCTCTCACTTTCCAACATTGCTTCCCATCAACTGACCCATTTGATCTTCATAGCTGCCAGGGAAGGGAAGGCATTCATCATTGCAAAAGCTTTTCTATTTTTTTTTTTTTTAATTTTTTTTTTTCAACGTTTATTTATTTTTGGGACAGAGAGAGACAGAGCATGAACGGGGGAGGGGCAGAGAGAGAGGGAGACACAGAATCGGAAACAGGCTCCAGGCTCTGAGCCATCAGCCCAGAGCCTGACGCGGGGCTCGAACTCACGGACCGCGAGATGGTGACCTGGCTGAAGTCGGACGCTTAACCGACTGCGCCACCCAGGCGCCCCAAAGCTTTTCTATTTTTAAGGGGGTTGCAAACTTAATAACTATTTTTCTCATAACTGATTTTTTATTTCTCACCTACTAGATAGTGAGTGTGTTTTAAATTTACAGAGTCACTATTAACTGAGTTTCTGGTGGTTTAATCAGTCTCTTTTGGGCATGCCAGTCTCTTTTAGGCAAATGCTAATTATATAAGATTTTCTCTTCCTCCCCTTACTCAACTCTAAGATACTGTCATGATGTCATGTGAGGGGGTGGAGGTAGGGAGAGTAGTGGTGAAAATGGGTTTTGGATTCAGATAGTGACCTCTGAATCAGTGGACCCTCACTGATCTCTGCAGTTGAGTGCCTGATCGGGTCCCTGGAAATTGCAACTGCTGGTTGCTGACAGACCTTGTGTGTCATTGTGTAGGCACCCATCACTGGACCTTGCCCCTGGATCTTGTTAGTCTACTGGGTTTTTCTAGATCTTTGCTTTCCTCACCAGAACACAGAAGCTTCTGGATCCCTTGCTTACTGCACACAGGCCAGGCAAGTCAGCAGATCAGACTTTTTGGTGTAGACAAATTCTTTCCACCAAATGCCATTGCTGGGCACCACACCACCTCTTCTCCCAAGGCTCACCAGAGGGAGCAAAGCAAAGGCCTTCTGCCTTCAGGATTCCCCAACATATTTAAGGCATTACCCTTTTGGAAGGGCTTCTGCCTAGGTCTTACTTTCTATCCCTGTCTCTCTTCTCTTTGCTGCCAATCTCCCCTAAGCCAAAAGAGATAGCCTGACCTCTCCTTTCCTTCTTTATGATATTCCCCAAGTTACAAGGTCCTCCCTCAGGTCTTATCTTGAATTCTGTCTATCCCTGTCACTTTATAACTTCCATAGACAAAGTCAACATGGAGCTAAAAAAAATATAGAAAATTGTATAGTCTTTTGACAAAGACCAAATTTCAGGATTATTTTTTTTGCTTCAAACTTAAAACCTCTACTTTGGATATTAAAAGCTGAATATTGAAACTCTCTTTATTTTTGCATTCCAGCTATAATATTAATCCTAATGCCTTGGGCAGAATGAGCAAAGGTCACACATTAAGAAACGCAAAGGAGAAAAACTCATTAATATATATCAAAACATTCCCATTACAGTATTGATTCAGAGAAAATATATTAACTATAGCAAATTCCACTAATTTGGACTGAATGGTATGGTCAATCTGAATTTGCAAAATGTATAAGTTATTAACTATTAATAAAATAAGGAAAAGTAATATTAGAGTATGTAGAAAAAAATACTATTATAGATAAGAAAAGCACAGCTATCACTGAACATTTGGAAGGGCTGGGCTCTAGGTATTTTTCTGTGTGTATGCATACATTATACATGTATGTCAATACATCTAGATATGGATTTATTTTATACATACATGTAGTATATGTATTAAGTTCTATACAAATATGAGCCAATTTATCTTAATAACCGATTTTACAGAGAAGGAAACAACACAGAAAAATATACTTGCCTGATAGTTGGTAGCCTGTTTTGCTAGGTTTGCCTGGCTTTGGAATCCTAATGGATAACTTTCATAAACCTATTTTTTAAAAATGAATTCTATGAAGATACAACAAATGAAAAAAATGTAAGTAATATACTTGTAGAGAAATGACGATTCTTGAAAATGTTTTATGGTGACACATGGTAGCTCCACTTGTGATGAGCACATCATAATGTAGAGAGAAGTTGGATCACCACGTTGTACACTAGAAATTAATGTAACATTGTGTTTCAACTATACTCAAAAATTTTTTTGATGTTTTATTTTTGTATTATTAGATTAAAATGTTTCTATTGTTTATTTTCTTAACAAACACTTCACAAATGTTACGAGGAAATTTTAGTGACTGGTTTACCTAGCTATTCAGAAAGTTCACATTAAACAGATTCACCTTAATGAATTTTTGTTGTATTATTTCCACAGAATTAACATAATCTTTCTTTATGACATTTGCCATTTTATCCACTTTCTCTAGCTACCTTATAATTATACATATCAAAATATTTAGTCAATTCATTAAAAAAAAAAAGAGTCAAAGATCACAGACACTTAACATCACTTAACCAAATAGATACTTGAACTAACTGAATTGGTAAAATATAGAAAAATTCAAATTTTCATACCCTAGATTTAATAGTAAGATATAAAAACCAAAATATATGTGTAAATTACTTGCTTGAAAAAAAGACTTACTGTTCAATATAGGCAGAAATTTTAGACTAAAAGTGACTTTTGGATCACCTAGGTGGCTTAGTTGGTTAAGCATCTGACACTTGATTTCAGCTCAGGTCATGATCCCAGGGTTGTGGGATCAAGTCCCGCATTGGGCTTCACACTGAGCATGAAGCCTGCTTGAGATTCTCTCTCTCTGCCTCTCTCTCTCTCTCCCCCTCTCCCTCTCTCTCTCTCTCTCTCCCTCTACCCTTCTCCCCTGCTCATTCTCTCTCTATATATAATAAAAATTTGAAGATAAAAAACCCTAAAAGTGATTTTTGAAAATTGGAAGGCAGCTATGCTCACCACTATGCTACCAACACCCACCGACTTTTGAAAATTGGAACTTTAAAAAATAAAAATTTTACCACAAACTATAACAAAATAATTAAATTTTTTTTGAAATAGACAAAATGTCGGTAAAAGAATGATTAAAAATATTTTATTAAACTTAGTGCCCAGATCTTGGTTTCTAATACCATTCTCTAATAAAAGAAACCAGGGATCTTTAGAGAAATCCTTGTTCTAGGATGAGAGCAGGGAACATGCAAGATGAACCCGGGGTATCTTACATGCCAGAAAATAGGAAATTACTTAAAAAACAACTTACACACACTCACAATGGTGGGATATGACAAAGGGACACAGGAGCCAACTGAAAGAGCTCCTAATGGCCAAATGTGGAGCAATTTAAGCAACAAAATAAAGTAGTATAGGATTGTATCCAAAGTATAAAATAAATATCCATGAATCATACCAGTATAAATAAATAAATAAATAAATAAATAAATAAATAAATAATAAAGGAGTAGAAAAAATTGCCCATGCAGAAGAATTCGGAATAATGTATGTACTATTCCACCTATAGGGGATGGAACATAATTTCCTACTTCACGAGCAGGGGCTTCACATAGAGCTATCCTTCCAAAGGATACTGCGGGGAAAGAAGAGACTGCATGGAAAGAGGAGAAAAAGAGTAGTTGTATATTGGAAAAGCCTGACAAATACTACCTCAATTGGGTGATCAAGGTTAATATCAACAATGATAAATTATCTGTATAGTATGTACCTTTGATGTGATAGGGTGAAAATGACACTTTACCTCTGTGGTCTTCCTCCCTAAAGCCCTTAATCTCAGATCAGTCGTGAGAAAGACATCAAACAAATCCAAATGGGGGACATTCTGCAAAATAACTCACCAGTACTCCTCAAAACTATAAAGGTCATCAAAAACAAGGAAACTCTGAGAAATTGTCATAGCCAAGAGGAGTCTGAGGAGATAATGACAACTAAATGCAATCTAGTATCCTGGATGAGATCCTGGAATAGAAAAAGAACATCAGGTAAGAACTAAGAGCATCTAAATAAAGTATGGATATTAGTGGTGTATTAATGGTGTATCCATATTTGCTTATTAATTGTAACAAATGAATCATCTTAATTTAAGATATTAATGAGGGGTGCCTGGGCGGCTCAGTCGGTTAAGCGTCCGACTCTTGATTTCTGTTCAGGTCATGATCTCATGGTTTGTGGGTTCGAGCCCCACATCAGACTCTGCCCTGACCCTGCAGAGCCTGCTTGGTATTCGCTCTCTCCCCTCTCTCTTTGCCCCCTACCCCGCTTGCTCTCTCTCTCTCTCTCTCAAAATAAATAAACTTAAAAAAAAAAAAAACTAAAAAAAAGATATTAATGATAGGAGGGATGGGTGAAATAGGTGATGGGGATTAAAGAGTGCACTTACCATGATGAGCACTGAGTAACCTATGGAATTGTTGAATCACTATGTTGTACACTTAAAACTAATATCACAGTGTATGTTAACTATACTGGAATAAAAAACAACAACAAAGAAGATATTAATAATAGGGGAGACTGGGTGTTAAGTCTGTTCAATCTTCACATTTTTCTGTAAATCAAACTATTATGCAAAATGTTTATTTTTTTTAATGCTTATTTATTTTTGAGAGAGAGAGAGAGAGAGAGGAGGGGCAGAGAGAGAGGGAGGCGCAGAATCTGAAGCAGGCTCCAGGCTCTGAGCTGTCAGCACAGAGACTGATGTGGGGCTGGAACTCTCGAACCATGAGGTCATGACCTGAGCTGAAGTCGGTAGCTCAACCGACTGAGCCACCCAGGTGCCCCTGAAAAATGTGCATTTTAAAAAAGAAGCTACACATGGAAATAGAGAACAGCACAGTTCTATACTTATATTCAGGAAACACATAAGACTGAAAAACATTGAACTATATTATAGGATGCACTCAGTAAAATCTAATCTGTAGAAAAGACCACAGGACAAATGACTCAATTTATTTAACAAATAAATTGCAAGGAGGAAAATAGAGAAAGCTGAAGTATAAATTGAATTAAGAGACAGCCAATCACAATGGGTGGATTTATTTGAAAACTTATTGAAACAAACTGCAAAAAAATGACATTACAAAACAGTTGGAATATTGAGCACACACTGAATATTTGATGATATTAAGGAATTACTGCTAATTTTATTTTGAGTGTGATTATGCTACTGTGGTTATTTTCTCAATATCTTTATGTTTAGAGATACATATTGAAACACTTGAGAATTAAATTATATAAACTCTGATATTCACACCAAAATAATATGGGATAACGGACTGTTGGGTAGGGGTCCAGGTGAAGCAATATTGACCATGAATTGTTAATTGTTGAAGTTAGGTTAGGTATATGGGAATTCCTTATATTATCCCATATGCTTGTGTACATGTTTAAAATTTTCTGTAATAAAAAGTGAAATGAAACAAAAACTACAAAGTGAAAATAACTGTCTAATAAGCCTTACTGTATAGTACTCTATTTCTAAATAGTAAAGTGTTTTCCACCTACACATCACCAATTCTCAAAATAGCAGCTTCAAGATAGAAAGTGACATTTAAGCTGTGTCTACAGGAAGCCAAAAACCTACTGGTTGATTTGATTAATTCAGACAAAGAGCTAGTCAGTTTTGCAGAGGGGGAAAAAAATCAAACTGTTCATTTCATTGAGTTTACTGAATAACGCCTTGAATACTGCTATGTACATAATAAGTGATTAATATTTGCTGGTCAATAAATCAGTGAATTTAACATTTGTTCTGGCACCTTAATGGAGACACAATTTGGCTGTGAACAGTAATTGTAAGAGAACTTGGAAACAAAGGTAGAAGGCTAGCTCTAGGCAAAACTATGGAGAGTGCAACATTTATTTATAGAATACTCATGTGCAAAGGACGTCAGTGCAAGCACACAACCAAAGTTCATGACAAGAACAAGAACCAACTTATAAAATTATCATTAGATTAAGTTTTGATTAAATTCTACCAGAAGTTGTTACAATGTATATTTGTGCTAAATGGTATTTCAATGACTTATATACTATATATGCTTTTTAAGCATCATGTGAGGACCCTAATGTATGACCCTTTAAAATTTACAAAGCACTTTCATATTGTGGTATATCATGTTACCTTCTTTTGTGAATCAGACAAAAAATAGGTAACATTATCTCTGTTTTTCAGGTGAAGGATAGGCTCTGGGAGACTCCCAGCATTGTCAGTGCCAGAAGCAGAGGAATGGGGACTGGAACCCAGGTGTCCTGGCACCAAGTCCAGTGCTCCTTGTTATACTTAGCCATCTCTCAAGGGGAAATACATAATATACTCCTGGTGCTTCTACTTGGATTATATTGGAAAGAAAGTTGGCATGAATAAATATCTCTAATTTACGAACACAAATAACCTCCTTTTTTGCCAATCTCTACTATTTAGTGTCAGTATACTAGTGGTTCTTCTTAATAACTGTCTATTATAAATAGTCACTATTCTGGGCAACATATGCTCGATTAATATTACATTCTGTTTTCTCAGTGATGCACAGTTGAAATCCAGAAACTAAGCTCTGTGAGGATGGTAAACATTCTTCTCAACATTAAATCCTTTGATGTTGAAAAAGAATATGCATTAAAGTATCCTAAAATATTATATAATAACTTTATAATATCAGTTAACACAAAGCTCATCATTCTGGTCCATTATTTGGCAAATGGCTTTATTCTTTCATAGTTTCTTCTTACCTGAGGACTTCTGTTCCTCCTCAGTAGATGTAGTCCACTTACCTATCATGACTTTACTGCTGCTTGATTTCACTTTCTAGCCTATTTTATGTGCGAGGAAAATCATTCATAATAGCTTGTGTGTGACTGTTTTTCACCTCTAGTCAATGACCATTTCTATTCAAACTATTTTAAATGATGTTTTGGAATCGGTCCATCCCTTGCCTTTGCGTATATTCTATATCTTTTTCTAACTTTCCCAAATGACTCACTTTTTGCTTTTGTTTTTAATTAGAGGTTCTTCTTATGGTTTCTTCCTGAGTATCCCCTTTGGAGCTAGGCAGATACTGTTTTGCACAGAATGTCCAGCTGAGAACAAAAATACAGACCTGTGTTTTTTACAACAATGTTTAAGTGGGTTTAATCAGAATGCAGTTTTACAGTTCAAATATATCCATATTTCAAAGACCACAGAACTTAACATTATATGCTCTCTTTTTCAGCAATGTGAACAAACCAAACTGTCAAACACTGAACCAGTGGAAAATGAATGTACTTCCAAAATCATTTCCCTGATCCACTGCAAACAGCTTGATCACATTGGAGAATGTGACCCATGCAGTTGCTGAAGCGTGTTTTCCCACTATACCTCATGCAGAAAAATCAAACTAAGAGTAATCTTGAAATGTCACTTCACAAACAAACTGAAGAAACTGGAAGAGATAAACTAGGATTTCCCCTGGTGGGCCATCCAGAGTGGCAGTGGGTACCTGGGAGAGCCCTAGAAACTTGGGGGGAGGGTCAAAGACCAGGACCTGGTGCTGAGCTTCAGGGAATGAATCTTCCTAGAGCATTCCCACTGGTGAATCAGGATACCATCTGCATATGTCATCAAGTGGCTCGCTTCCCGCCTTTGCCAAATATATTAGATTTTTATTGTTGCAGTAACAAATCGCCATACGCTGAGTGGATTAAAGCATCACAAATTTATTTTTACAGTTCTGGAGGTCAAAAGTCCAGTAAGGATCTCACTAGATTAACATAGATGTGTCAGCAGAGCTGTGTCTGCTTTTGGAGGTTAGCATAGCAGGTGGAGTCTTTCTCATCACAAGTTTCACTGACTCTTTTGTCACCATACCTTTTTCTCTGACCACCTTTGGAAAAGGTCTCTGCTTTTAAGGATTCGTGTGATTAGATGGGGCCCACCTGGCTATTTCAGGATAATTTCCCCATCTCAAGGTCTATAACCTTAATCATAGCTGCAAAGTACCCTTGCTATGTAAGGTAACATTCACAGATTTGGGGGGACAGGAAATAGGTTTTTTAGGGGGTCATTATCCTGCCTAGCACACCAAGCGAAGAAAGAGTAGGATAATCTTTATCTTTCTGGCCTCCGCCTTCCTGATCTTAACCCGCGCTGACTGGATCTGGGCCATACATTCCAACATATTCTAACACTACCCCCTTCTTATTGCTTAGTTTTATTTAGCTCACTGGCTTGAAAACCATACCATCTATGATTTCCCTTATTATCCTCAACCATATCTAGGATGTGGAAAATGTATAAGAAATAATGTGCTTTTTGTGTTAACTGTAAAAATATGTGTTAATTCTCAGTAACAATCTTGCATCTACACATCAGTTGTCTCTTGGGGTAGGGGCCTAAATTTTTTTCCAAAATGAAACATACGCATTAAAACAGCAGCATGAGATGGTCATAATATACTTAACAATGGCAACCAATTTGGATTCTTTGAATAAATAAAACTGTGAATAGATGGGTTTCTTTAGATGAGGACCTTTAGAGAACTCCCACCTTCCTTTTAGTCTGTGCCCTGTGTAGCGTCAGGAGGACAGAAGATTATTGTATTGTGTTCCTAGGACCAAATGAATAAACATCATTTGCCTATTAAAAATTACGGTATTTTATTTTTAAAGAACTGTGCTGGGGGCGGCTCACTGGCTTAGTCAGAACAGCATTGATTCTTGATGCTGGGGTCGTAAATTCAAGCCTCATGTTGGATATAGAGATAAATAAATGAATAAATAAAAACTTAATAAAATTGTTTAAAATTTTTCAGTTTTTCTCTGCTGACAGCTCAGAGCCTGAAGCCTGCTTCAGATTCTATGTCTCTGTCTCTCTCTTCCCCTCCCCCACTCATGCTCTTTTTTCTCTCTCAAAAATAAATAAAAACAAAAAATAAAATAAAACAGAATTCAGCTTAAAAAAAGAACTATGCTAATACAAGTTTTGAAGTAGAGGATATGTATCTTGGTTACAGTTTTACCGATGAATGACATTAAGTTTTTTTACATTATATAAATTGAAGACAAAATTGAATTTACCTTGATGTTAATTAAGCTTAAGCTTCAAGTCCCCTAATTTTGTATTAGTAGTATTTGATCATAGTTTTCTAAAGACTATCAAAAATGCATAGGTTTAGGACCCCATAAAACTTGGGTCCACCACTGACTAGAGCACTTTCCTGTTTGAATTGCCTAAATGTTTAATAATAATATTTCTTTAAAATAAATATATTTGGTCATATTATTTTGCTATTTTCTATATCTTAGGTGCGATAGACTATTTGTTCACAATTGTTTATTCCTCTCCACTTTTCCATATTTCCTTTAAAAAATTTTTTTTAAGTTTATTTATTTTTGAGAGAGAGAGTAGGGGGGAAGAGAACATGAGTAAGGGAGGGGCAGAGAGAGAGGGAGATACAGAATCTGAAGCAGGCTCCAGGCTCTGAGCTGTCAGCACAGAGACAGACAGGAGCCTAGAACCCACGAGCGATGAGATCATGACCTAAGCCAGACACTTAACTGACTGAGCCACCCAGGCTCCCCACCATATTTCCTCTTAATACAACATATTTCCTCACCCTACTGACTTCGGATTTGCTTGGCCAATGGAATGTGGGCAGATGAGTATGCTGTGTCCCAGCAGAACAATGTCCTTGTGTAATTTGGCTCTGTCTCTTAGCTTCTGCTCTCTACTATGAGTATTACCTGGGTCCCAGAACGAGAAGACATGTAGAACCCAGACAAACTCAGCACAAGCCCTGTGAATCTTTAGCCTTCATGTAATGTGAAAGAAAAATAAATGTTTGTGGGTGCACTGAGATTTGGCCATTGTTTGTTATTGTAGCAAAGGCCAAGAGTGATTGTCATTCTGTTTACTCTTTTATTTCACAGTAAGGAATCTGTTCATCTATCTGTCATCTATCTATCTATCTATCCACTCTAGTATTTTCCTGGATTTGCAGTATACATATTACACTCTTTGGTTGCCTGTAACTAGCATACTTATTGATGGTTGCCAAGGACTGAGTCATTAAACACATGCCTTTTCTTCCCTGGAGAGTCCTGTGTGTGTGTGTGTGTGTGTGTGTGTGTGTATTTCCTTTCCTTCTTTTTCTTCTTCTTCTTCTTTTTTTTTTTTTAAAGAAAATTGGCAGGTACACAGGGAAGGAAGCTTGTATCATTGGGGACTTCAGATCCCAGGACTGTGCAACATGCTCACCATTTTCTGAAAATGCAAAATCCATCTCTGTATGTTTTCTTGAAGTTATTTCATAAAATATGTGTTTTTTTCTAATTATTTTTAATTATGCCCCTATAGAATTAGTGCAAATTTCCCCTACTTGTTTATCTGAAAACCTATTATGTGAAGTGAGGCTACGTCCCCTGATGGGTACTATTTACATTTTAAAGCATCTAAGGGGTCTCTTTTGTGGATGCTCTCCAGTGTAGCCAAATTAATGTCATTTCAATTTTTTGTATTTCCACATTATTTACCCAATTAGTAATAACAGATGTTATTTGTGTGTAAGTTCATTAAATACATTATTTCCTTAAACATACAAGGTTATCAGGAAATCTATCCTTTCCCTGAAAAGTTATGATTCTAAACCATCAACTTTTTTGACTATGTATATAATGAGATATCTTAATATGTATCTGTTGAAAAACTCACTCTTGGTAGAAAAATGACCTGTTTTTGAAAAGCAGTATGATATTCTCTTTATTTTACAATTGCTTTGATGGGCCTGACTGAATGTGTACTCCATGGCCCTGTTTCAAAACACTCCTAAATTTGAATTGTGAAAAAAAATCTTTATGTAAAAAAAATTTTTTAGAAATAACCACTCACAGTTATGTAAAATCTTAAAGCTATTTAATATATCTTAAATTTAAGCAAAAGGAACAAAAAGTTAATGTTCAATAAATTATGTTAAAAAATAACCCAGGGTATAGAGAATGCTAGAATTATCTTTATACCTTTTTGTATATGTGTGTGAGTTCAAATGTATTCTTACTCTAAAATAAAAATGCCCAAGAAAGATTTAAAGGGAGGTTATATCATAAATTATAGTAGGTATTCAACAAATGTTGAGAGAATAAGTTGGACTGAGCTAGAAAAATGTATCTTTTTTTTCAGGGGATAAGAAAATGGAAAAAGGCACTTTTGGAACATTGCAATATCTAAATTTAGGTTGCATTGATACATACTCAGAATTGATTGTGGAAAGAGCACCTCTAATGGCTTGACTATACTTTTCTTGTATTAGACTAAATGTTCTTTTAGCAAAAAAGTTTTATTTCTTTAGGTCAAGACTAGTGGTGTGTACGTAGCCATCTGTGAACTCTGTTGTCTGAGACTGACTTTTCCATTAGTGAAGACAGAGCCATGTAACTGACCAGGCATGAGGCAGATCCTATCAGCACTGGATCAAAGCATGAAGGAGCTGCGGCATGAATCTTAGCTCTTCAAGTGCCAGGACCCTTTGGTCAAATACTCATTTTTTCTAAATTTCAGTGTCTTCACTTGTAAATGAGAAATGCAATTCTCCATCATACAATTGCTATAAAATTTAAGATTCTGGAAGTAAAATGTAGTAGTGGGCTAAATGGTGGTCCCCCAATAAAGATACTCATGTCATAATCCCTGGAGTCTGTGAGTGTTACCTTATTTTATAAAAGGTCTTAGATATTTAATTAAGTTAAGCATCTTGACATGAGGAATCATCTTGGCTTGGCCAGCTGGGCCCTAAATCCAAAGACAAATGTCCTTATAAGAGTGAAACAGAGGGACATAAGATAGAAGAGGAGAAGGCTATTGAAGGCAGAGATTGGAGGAAAGTCGATACAAGTCAAGGAATACCTACAGACGTCAAAAGCTGGAGGAGGCAAAGAATGTATTATCCCTTAGAGCCTTTGAGGGAATACAGCCTCTCTAAACGGTGGCATCTTGATTTCAGATGTCTGACTTTTGGAAGTGTGAGGGAATGAATTTTTGTTTTAAGCTACTCAGTTTGTAGTGATTTGTTACAGTAGCCATAAGAGACTAATACATAAAGTTTGTGGTTTATAATAGGTTTTTGAATAAATATAAAATTTGTCCTTTTATTCCAAACCCATCATCACTAGAGGGTACATTTTATTTATTTATTTATTTATTTATTTATTTATTTAAATGTTTATTTTTGAGAGAGAGAGAGAGAGACAGGGAGACAGAGTATGAGCAGGCAAGGGGTAGAGGGAGAGGGAGACACAGAATCCAAAGCAGGCTCCAGGCTCCAAGCTGTCAACGCAGGGCTTGAACTCACAAACTGTGAGATCATGACCTGAGCCAAAGTCTGACACTTAACCAACTGAGC